CTAACTAAGAAAATGGTAAAACTCTCATGTCAACTATTATAGGCATCATATGCTATATATCTGAGTGAAAATGATTAAAAAAATTATGTATAATAAAATTAAGCCCGAGAGCAAACAAAAACTAAAAAAGCTATATGTAAATTTACATAGGTCTTTTACATCTCAAATAGAATCTTGGCTCCTAAATCCAACTCCATTGACATCATATTAGGATACACTGTGTAGCAAAATTCTAGTATTCACGACTGCAATCATATAAGCCGGAGCACCATACGTGCAATCCATTTTTTCTTAGATACTATAGACCTTTAGCTTTTTCTAGTAGCTCCTAATTAAATTACATAAATGATATATCAACATAATATCTCTTCGTTTGCTCTAACATTTAGGTTATTTGAACTTCATGTGTAACTATTCTTGTTGCTTTTTTGACTCTTCTTGTGTAACTATTCTAATGTACGTATTTTTGTGCATTTTTAGGAGAACATGATAATAGCAAGAAGTGAAAGAGATTCAACTTTCCACTATTATTAAATAGCAATTAAGAGTGTGGCCACACAGAAAAACTTTTCAGTTTGGAGCGTGATTTTGTTGCAACTCTTCAAATTCTTTGCTTCAAAGTTTCAAGAGTAATAAATAGAAGTTCTTTTTTCTAATTTAATTTTTTTTTTTTTAACTTTGTATAAAGATGTGGAGTATAGGAATAACTTTTTATTAAGGGGCATAAATGCCGTTCACCTTTATTTGGACATTTTGCTATTTTAACTTCATAGTAAGGGCGTCACACTTATAATATAGTGCTGGAGACATTGCATTTCCAGATTTTAATCACCCAAACTCCAAGTGTTGGATCCAGGTTGATGGCGGCTAGGTTTTACTTCTAATGGTTTTGAGATACCGAGTTTGAGGCTTCCTATTTAGCTCTCTACGTGTCATGATCAAGTGCAACACTCTCCATTTAGTTCAACCATCTCACCCGTTGTTTTTAGTCCACTCAATGACAGTTGGATGTCACAATTTATGTATTTTCTTTATACCTTTTTACACACGTGTACAAAAGTAGTTAGAGGTTAGTTAGTAAGTGGAAGATACACGTGGATATTATGCATAGTTTGTACAATACACTTTATTTTCTCAGATTGAAAAATACAGTTTCAACAATTTGCTAAAATTCTCTTTCTAGAATTTCAACATGGTATCAGAGCATTAGAGTGATCCGGCTCAATTCTCAATTCCAATCTCATCTAGTTTCGATCTGAATTTTTGATCTCAATGCAACACTAAGATCAATACTGAATTTTTTTATCTAATCTAGTTTCAATTTGAAATTTTTGTTCTATAATTTCTCTTCAGATTTCTAGGTTTTGTTTATTCGATTTCTGTTGGTTGATCACTGAAAATGGCAGTACCAGCAAATGTCAATATTGATCATCATTAATATCTTCATGCTTCTGATTCGCCTGGGCTAGCTTTGGTTTCACCTCAGTGTGATAGATCTGGATATGGCGCTTGGATAAAATCCATTTTGATTGCACTATCAGCCAAAAATAAATTTTGCTTCATCGATGGAAGCTTAAGCATGTCGAAGTATGATTCACCTTATTTGAAGTATTGGATTCGATGTAATGATTTGGTGTTTGCTTGGGTCCTAAACTCCTTGACCTCAGACCTAGTGTAATTCATCCAAATCAGTTAGAATTTTGTGAAAACAACTGGAGGAAAGGTATGGACAATCAAATTTAGCTCAATCTTTTGAATTACTAAATAGTTATGAGAAACAGTGCAAGGTTCAAATAATATTGCTACTTACTTCAACAAAATCAAGGCTATATAGGATGAGATAGAATTACTTGATGCTCAAATTGTTTATGCTTGTGTGGATTGTAAATGCGGTTCACTTGAGAAGAACTATGCCCTTGAAGAAAGGAAAAAATTAGTGCAGTTCCTAATAGAAATAAATGAGAAATATACTACGGTAAGAGGAAACATTATGATGCAACCTTCACCAACAATCGACAAAGCCTATTATCTACTGCTTCATGAGGAGAGACAAAATGGCATTCAGTCTATAGGACACTATCCTAGTGATTCTAGTTCTTTTGCTGCTACAATATAGAAATTTAACAAGCCGCAAGAAAAGTTTAATAATTTTGTTAGTCAGGCTGGGAACTCTTCTGGTGGAAATAGTTCTCAAGCTGGAAACTCTTTTGGTGGAAATAGCTCTAGTAATAATCAGGAATACAGGAAAGGATTATTCTGTAACTATTAAAAAAATCAGGACACAGTATTGAAAATAATTTTAAAATCCATGGCTATCCCCAAAAGCAGAATTTTAGAAATAACAACAGGCAAAGAAAGCTACAAAATCCTATTCAAGGTCATGCAACTTTCTTACATAAAGGTGTACGACAATTTCACAACAATGAGACAGAAGCAACAATTGGTATTAAACAAGAACAATTTACACAACTAATGGAACTACTTCAACAAGTCAAAATCGGGCAACAAGTAGCAACAAATTCTGAGGTCAATGGGAATGCCAATAGTGCTGGTACATCTCTACCTACTCCTATCATCATTTCTAAGAACGCTAAGAGTCAATTTTGGATCATTGACTCTAGAGCTTCTGAACATATGACATTTGATCCCAGCATTCTTAGACACAATAAAGTCCTTCCTATTCTTGTGAATGTAAACCTTCCTAATTCTCAAAGGGTCAAAGTAACACATGCAGGACAAGTTACTGTACACCCTAAATTGACTCTGAACACTGTCCTACTAGTTCCATATTTTTAATTCAATCTCATATCTGTTCACATATTATGCATATAATTTAAATCCATTCTTACCTTCTCTGATTCTTTCTGTTTCTTGCAGGGCCTTCCCTTGAGGAGGCCTCTGGGTTTGGTGATGTCAAAGCTAGACTATATTTTCTTTACTCCACATATTATTTTTTGATTTCCTGTACATAGAAATAAAATTGAATCAGTCATTCCATCTTTCATTATAAACACTTTTAGTGCATATGATGTTTCACATTCTATAGATAATTTTGTGGTTTCTTGTGATATTTTATGACATGTAAGACATGGTCATTTACCTATTTCTGCTATGAGGCATATCCCTAGTTGCACACAACATAATTTTACATAGAATGGTTTTTCTTGCACAATTTGTCCTATAGCTCGACAACACAAATTACCATTTCCAAAAAGCACAACTTCTACATTTAACATTTTTGAGCTTATCCACATAGACACTTGGGGCCCCTATAAAACACCCACACATGATAATTTTAAGTACTTTCTTACTATTGTTGATGACCATAGTAAGGGTACTTGGACATATTTGCTAAGCACTAAAAGTAATACTTTTACAGTGCTTCAATATTTTATTTCTATGGTTGAAAAGCAATTTAATACCAAAGTCAAGACAATAAGGTCTGATAATGTATTTGAACTAGGAAGCAATGTTGCATTCACTACCTATTTTACTTCTAAGAGTTTTTTACATCAAATCTCATGTGTTGGTACCCCTCAACAAAGTGGCATTGTTGAACGAAAATACAAATACTTATTGGAAATCTGTAGAGCCCTTCTTTTCCTTTCAAAGGTCCCTATTGCTTTTTTGGGGAGAATATTTACTAACAACAACTTTTCTCATCAATAGGTTTCCCTCCAAATTACTCCATTATAAAACTCCCTATAAGATTTTGTTTCAGAAGACTCCTAATTATAGGTTACTCAAATTCTTTGGGTGCTTATATTTTGCCTCTACCTTACCTCATCATAGGGGAAAACTGGATCCTAGAGCAACTGCTTGTGTATTTATTGTGTAGACATGTAATTTTTAATCCTCCCCAAGATTTTACACATTTAGTGTAAAATATTTAGCTTAGGTTTAGTATCGCTGTTCTAAATAATTTTGACTCTTTTACTTTATTTTATCACAAAAATAAAAATTACAAAAATATTTTCTAATTAATATTTTATCTAGTTACTTTTAATTTATCTACTTTACATAAAATTCAAAAATACAAAAATACAAAAATAGTTCCACTTTATTTTCAGGAATATTATTTTAATTTTATAATGATTTTTCCGTTTTTAAATTTTAGTATGATATTTGAAAATACCAAAAAAAAGATTTGTTTTAACGGTTAATTTTATTTTAATAGTTATTTTACTTAAGTAGGATTAATTAGTAAATAGTGTAGTATTTTTAGTCTTGTTTTAAAAGAAAGAGTATGAAATTTGAAGCTATGTTGTTTGGTCTTAATTGAAGAGGTCCAAAGAGATGGCCCAATTTTAAAGCCCAAACCCTAAGACCCACTTCCCCTTCTTCTTATACACCCTAACATACATTTTCAAGACCTAGACATTAAAAAAAAACCTAGACTACACACAAAAGAGGCTTCAGCCGTTTTTTATAGGATTTGAAACCCTAGGACCCCTCCTTCTTCCTTAGACACAAAACCTAGAAAGACTTAACCCTAGAGACACCAAAGAGCTCCCAGCTGTACCCTTGAAGACCTTCATCTTGTTCAGCCTTCACACACAACCAAACAATACCCCTTAACCAAAACCAGCCGCAGCAGCCCCAAACCGCCGGCCTCCGCCCCCTCAACACCAACAACACAGCCGCACAACCTTAAACACCCCATTCAAGCGCCGGACTCCAGCAACTTTCAGCACTTCTTCCTAGCCCTAGCATCCCTAAACAGTGACACCCATCCCCACCACCTCACAAAGCCAGTCACATCTCGCCTCCCTTCTTCATCTCCACCCAAACCCGCCAGAAGCAGGTCTAAAGGACTAGGCAATCCCCTTCTCCAACACCCACCCGCCTCTGCCATCTCCTAGCATTGCCGCCGACATCGCCCCTAAAAAAAGGAAATGAAAAATAGAATAAAAAAGAGGAGGAATGGGACAGTGTTGCAAAGACAGAGATTGAGAGGGAGTGACGAAAATAGAACAGGGGATTTGGGGGGGGGGGGGGGGGGGGGTTGGCTTTTGATTCTGATTTTCATTTTTTCTGATTTCATCTTAGTTCATCTATATTAAAGAAAAGATTTCAATTGATTTTAGCTTCAGTTTTGATTTCAAACTCGAAATATATATAATGAAAATTCTAGCTGTTCTTTTGGTCTTGGCTTCCGAAATGGAGTGGAGTTGAAACGGGTGTTCGATCCTAGAAGTTGCCGTCCGAGAGGCAAGGCAGTCCGGTCAGAGATTCGATGAGGTTTCCGGCGAGGTTTTCCAATTTAGATCTTGTTCGCGGCCCTATTCATTCCTTTGCTTAGCATTTTCAAACCGTGAAATAATCAATTTTCAGTATTGAGGTTCATTTCTCACCTTATTATCTATTTAAATTTTATTTGCATATTCTTGCTAATAACTTTCGATGATCATGAATGCAATATGATTTATTTTGTTTATCTCATTATTGATCTAGAATCTGTTTAAAAAGGTTTATCAGTTTATGTTTTCTGGCTCGTAATTCTGTCCGTGAATAGTCATCTAAATCACAGTTCATGTAATCAATGGCAATAAATATGGTTTGAGTTTAATTAGTTAGTTTGATTTTATACCAAGCAAAGTCGTTTTAGGCTAAAGTTTGTCATAGATTATATGAGTAGCCTTAAGGATTGGTTATCCCTTTCTAGGATGTTAGTTAAAATGAAGTTATGTGCTGGTTTGGAAGTATTTCTATCATCATGACTACGGGTACAGTTTCCGTAACGTAGTTATGATTTTCAAATCCGGGGGGTACATTTATGTGACCCGACCACAACTTCTAATAATGCTAATAAAATTAAACATGTTGTAGATCGTGGGTACGGTTCCCATGACACGATTCGCAATGTGTACCAAACAAACAAGTGTACGACAATCGTAACTTGTTCGAGAATAATTCCATAAATAATTAAAAGTGGTTTGAAAGTTAAAATTGTACATAGGTTTAAATTGTGTAATAAATCAGATAATTAGGCCAAATATTAATAGTTAAGCGATCGTGTTAAAACCACAGAACCTGAGAATGCCTAACACCTTCTTTCGGATTAATAGAATTCCTTACCTTCTTTCGGGTTAACCCAAGTGGCAACTCTGAATAAATATAAATAATCCCGTTTCGATTATTGTCACTTTAATTGGAAAAACTCCCTTTATACCCCTTTTCGGGGTAGAAAAAGGAGGTGTGACACATTGGATACCTTTTTGGAAAGAAGGGATATAAGTTGTTAGACCTACAAACCAGAAACATTTTTATTTTCAGAAATGTGGTCTTTCATGAATCAATTTTCCCATTTTCTACTCCACAGAATAAGTTTCACCGTCCTCTATTTCTTATAGAGTCTTTCTCTGATTGTTCTATGCCTCTCTCACCCCTGGATGTTCATTCAGATGATTCTCCTTCTCCTATTCCTTCTCCTATAAATCCTACTCGTTGCTCTCCTAATTCACCTATCCAATATTCTTCTTCCACTTTATCCTCACGGTTTATTCCCTCTTTCTTCTTCTTCTCTTTCATCTACTTCCCCTACTATTTCTGACTACTCTCCTTCTTCACTACAATCAACACCTCCTATTGTTAAGACTACCTTGCGCAGGTCCTGAGGGATCACAAGACACCTGCTTACCTAGGTGACTATATTTGTGGTGTAGTTCATTTAACTGATGTTTTCACTCCTTGTTTTCTTTCTCCTATTTCTCCTATGCAGTTTTCTTTTAGTGTATTATCTTTCCCTAACCAAAAACTGTTTACTTCTCTTCCCTCATTCGAGAGCCTTCTTCCTATTCTTAGGCAGTCATGCATCCAGACTAGCAAGAAATTATGGCCAAAGAAATTGATGTTTTAATCACCAATGAGACATGGGAAGTAGTTCCTTTACCACAAGGTCGGAAGACACTACCTTGTAAATGGGTTTACAATGTGAAACTCAAATTTGATGGTAGCCTGTAGAGATTAAAATCTCGGTTGGTCATTCGAGGGGACATATAAAGGGAATGGATCGATTTCATAAAGACTTTCTCCCTTGTGGTCAAATTGACCACCATCCGATGTATCGTAGCCTTGGCAGTAAGGAAAAATTAGGGGTTGCATCAGTTGGATGTCAATAACGCTTTTCTACATGGTGATTTACACGAAGAAGTGTATATGAAGTTTCCTGCTGGGCTACTACCTCTTGTACCTAACATGGTTGTCAACTTAGGAAGTCCTTATATGGGCTTCGTCAAGCCTCAAGGTAATGGTGTGCTAGGTTGACAACTGCGCTGAATTTAAAGGTTTCACTCACTCTCTAAATGACTATTCCCTCTTTTATAAGAAGGCTGGTTCCTCTATTTCTTTGGTGGCCGTCTATCTGGATGACTGATAACTAGGAATTATAGTTCATTTTACACTCCTTCTTACTTGAGTTTTGATTAAAAATGTATACAAAATAGTCCCAAAGGCTTACATGTTGTACTTGTTTGCAGGGTTTGGTCATAAAGGTGACAATTAGTCAAAACCAGCTCAAAACGGAGTAAAACATGCACAAGAACCAAGAACAAGTCAAAGCACAGCTGCAACAGGCCCACTGTGGCCGCAAGCCATTTAGTGCAGTCTGCAGTGAGGAGATTCAGAGAGGTGCACTTTTGGAGCCTAAGGCAGTGCGGACCGCGAAGGATTTAGTGCGGTCGTAGTGGCCTCTTTGTGGTCGTGACCCATTTTGTGCGGTTCGCAAAGATGGGGTTCAGAGAGTTGGAAATTTGGAGATAAAGGCCAATGCGGTCAGCGGTCCTTTTTGTGCAGACCACAGTTGAAGCCATTGCGGTCGCGGTGCATTTTATGCGGCCTGCGGTGGCTAGATTCAGAGAACGATTATTCAAGCCCAGAAGCCTCACTGCGGTCCGCGGTGCATTTTGTGCGGACCGCACTACCCCTAGGGGTATTTTTGTCCAGAAAATTTGGCCTAGTATAAATACTTTCTTTTCCTATTTTTAGGTCATCTTTTGTAATCTAACTTTGAGCTGGGCTCATGAACAGAGGTTTTTGACTATTTTGAGCAATTTGTAGCTACTTTAACACTGAAGTTTCTTTATCTTAGTTTGTAATTAAATCTTATGGGTTATTGTTCATCTATTTATTAGTTTTTTTCTATTATTATGAGTAGCTAGACCCATTAGGTAGGGTTGTGGCTCAACCCTAATGCAGGTATTTGATGGGTCTTGAGTTTTAAGGCTTGAATGTCTATGGGTGTTTGATATTTGAACTAATTTTTGTTTTCCATGTTGAATTAGTGGTTGCAAACACTAATTTGTGACTTTTTGACTTGGGCTCTTCTTGAGAAAGAGAGCTTGAGTCTAGGAAAATTAGTCCAACAAGGAATTGGGGCGTATTCAAGAGATTGATAGCCCCAATTAAAGTATTAAACCTAGAGATAGTAATACCCGACTTGAACCTAAATCGCTTGCACAAATTATCATACCCAATTGGTCTTGAGAAAGTCAATTAGGGCAAAATCACTCAAACTACCAAGAGGTATAGAGTGTAGACATGTAATTTTTGACCCTCCCCAAGATTTTTCATATTTTAGCGCGCAAATATTTAATTTAGGCATAATATAGATATTTTAAGTAATTTTGACTCTTTTACTTTATTTTATTACAAGAAAACAAAAAAAATCACAAAAATAGGTTCATTAATGTTTTGTAGTCATTTTAATCTTAAAAAAAATCCTAAAAAATATATAAAAATAGTATCGGATTTTTATTTTAATATGATATTTGAAAATGCCAAAAATAGGTTTGTTTTATTTTAATAATTATTTGAATAGTAGGATTAATTAATAAATGGGCCCGTATTTTTAATCTCGGAAAGAATAGAACTTGGGTTCGAGCAACCCATTTTTAGGCCTAATTTTGGACCTAGCCCATAATTTCCAGGCCCATACTCCTTAACCTAAAAACCCTACAACTATCTAGACCTAGACTCTACACTATAAAAACAAGGTTAAGACTAAAGAAGAAGAATGGATATACACAGAAAAAAAAAGTTGCGCAACAAGATACAAAGACCCCCAAGGTCTTCTTCTTCACATACGCAGCAACACCCATACACGACCCATGCACGCCGGAGAAATGCACAGACCCCATACTCTCGTATTTGTCTTCTTCACGACGACCTGAGCCGACAGCCGCGTAATACCCAAAAAAAATGATCCCTCCGGTACTCCATCTGCCTCACGCCCCATCAGCGTTTCCTTCACTCTTCAACACTGAACCCAACAATAGCTGCACTTGACCTTGACACCAACGACCATAACCACCCTTCAGCCATAGAAATCAGCGAAGGACACCCCAGGAACCCCTAACCCAGCTACTCGAGACTCTTTCTCCGTTGCCTAAAACACCATGAAAACTGGCCGGAAACACCATGAAAACTGGCGAGACTTAATGAATATTGTCAACTTCCACACACACAGTCAAAAACAAAAAATGTTCAGCTTTCTTCACTTCCAATCTCTGATGTTAGTTCTAAAAAACGGGTTTCAATTGAACTAGTGTGTTGTACTTCTACGTCAGACGAGTAGAGATCTCTCCAGTGCTGGATTTTGTGACGTTTTGTGTTGAGTTTGGCCGGAGTTAGTTTTCTGGTGAGTTCTTCATGTGTGTTGCGTCGACTGTTGCTCCCGTGTCGTCATTGCTATTGTAGTGACGTTATTTTAGTTCGAGGTGCCGATGCGAGGTCCGTCGTTGAATCTTGTCGCGGTTCTAGGGAGCTTCGAGTCTGGTTCGTAGATTTCGTTCGAGTTTTCTTCCGGTCCGTATGGTGTTGCTGAGTTTTCGTTTCATTTTGGAAGAGCGATTTTTGTGTTGTACCCTTTCTGGGAAGAAATTTTACTTTCTCATTTTATTGACAGAATTCCCAAATCAAAGGTTCGCTCCCTTTAATCTATTGTTTCGTCTTGGATAAATGCTTTGTTTGGTCTAATTTTGTTTAAATGTTTCATCGTTTTGATTTATTTTGCTTGGTTCCTATCAATACCATTAGCAACTACAAACAAAAAAAAATAAACTTTCTCCATATGTGTCATTTGCTTAGTAAATATGAGAAAATCACGTCTTCGGTTTGTTAAAGACGTATATGCCTCATTAATCAAAAGGGGTTCAGTTTATAGTAGTTTTCTTTATTATTAGTTATATTAGTATTTATTTCTTAGTTGATGTGGTGGAAATTGTTAAGTGTTAATCCTGTAAGTTTAAGTGAGAAGGAACCAAATTAATAAATGTGGGAATAACTGATTGCACTAATAAAGTAGACTGCTAGTATAGATAATTAGGTTGTGTGGTGTTTTGAGTTGAGATAATCCGTTGATTTTTAGTAGTTCATCTCAGAAATTTACATCGATCAAATTGTACACTTCATCCACGTAGCAATTTTCACAATGCATGGCCCTCGCTTAATTGACTTTTAATCCTTAGAAATCGAGGCGTGCCATTTAGTTTAATTTCCATGGCCCTCGCAAAGTTGCAACGCGAAACAGCTTTAGGCGCGTCAGTTTAATAATATTATTTTCCTAAACTCGGGTGCACATTGTTGACGCCCCCTTTTTCTAAGAGTCGAAATCGGGTATACGACATTTAGGAGGATAACTATATTCCCTTTCGAGAATTGGGTTTAGAAGTTGAAGAGTCACCACCAAATGATTATAATGCATTAGGACACTTTAAGAAAAAATTGAGATGAAGAACCAGAGGTTGGGTAAGGGCTAGAAATTATCTCGAGGGGAAGGTGTTAGGCACCCCTCAAGATCCACTGGTGTGGTTCCCGGCCATGCTACAATTGTGACTTTAAGCAGATAAGTAGAAAAGAAAAGGATTTTTCACATAGTTTTGCAAACAAGTTTAAGAGTTGAAGGAGTAGAGAGTTTGGAAAATTAATTTAAAAGAAAACTTAAAAATTAACAAGTAAAGGGGAGAGGGGTCCTGGGTTTACAAATAATATGGATCACATCAATGCAATATCCAGCAATCACTCCTCAGAAGAGGGGTCGCACGTGATATTAGCGCACCGGTCATCATATCCATATTCTACCTATCCTACCCCGTTAAGGTATTAAAGTGCGGAAAGTTTCATTACTTATTGCATGCTAGTACCCGTCCCAATCCTATCAGTCCCGGAGACATTTAGGACTACTAATCCTAAAGAGAAAGGGATTTGGGGCCTTTTGAGAGCTTTCAAAGGACAAAGCACTAGGCGTCAATCAAAACACATAATGCAAGTAAAAGGGGAAGCAGATAAGCAAGTAAGGCTCAAGGAAACTTCCTTAAGTCAGATAAGCCATAGAGTTTAGCATGTCTTGCATGTACTGGTTTGGTCTTTAAAATTAAAGCGATAAGCAGACTAGTTCAACACATACTTTTAGACAGGAAGTCCGCATTTGGCTCGCTCGAATGCAGTTCTTAAGGACTAGTCTACTTTCAGCTATGTGTTGGATAGAACTAACGATTTCAAAAAGTGAGCTGGTTATGAAGAGTTACTAGTTTTTTATCAGAGTGAAACGAGTTTCAGAAAAATAATGTACTGTTTGAAAAAGATTTAAAAGAAAATAAAGGAGCTTTAGAAGACATGCAAACTAGTTGGAAAAAAAAGAGTTTCACGAACCTTGTCAGAAAAAGTTAGTTTCAGAAAATGCCAGTTTGGTTTAGAAAATGTTTGTTAACTTACGAGGTTCAGAAAATCACAGAAGAATGCCAGTTTATATTAATTTAAACGGTTGGTGCTGTTTTGAACAAATGAGACAGTTCCGACTCGAAGTTCCTATAGGCATGCTTTCTATACGTTAACTGATTTTAACACTTTTTAATAGGAGTCTTACAAACATGGTATCTATATGCAGCTTTATAATTAAGCCTACAGTTTGCCTAATGGTATCATTATGTTCAGAAATGTAAACCCCTATGAGCACGGTATCTATATGCATAGTTGCAGAAAGTTTAGAAGTTAAATCCTATAGGCATGGTCTCTACGTGTGAAATTGCGCAGTGTAGAAATTAAATCTATAGACATGATTTCTACCCTTTTGTGCATGAAAATTAACCCCCTCCCCTTTTCACTAAAATCCCATGAGTTTATACAAATTATTACAGACCAGTAAAAAATAAGACAGAAATAAAAAATACATCAAAAATTACAGCTATATCCGATCAGCCTAATTCAGACTTAGTATCTAACAATATGAGATTGAACCACTTTCGAGATCCAGATTTCTAAAGGCTTCTCTTATCTAGGGTGTTTCAGAGATCCAAGGAGTTTCAGGAACTCCAGGCAGTGCTTACACCCAAGATGTTAATTAGAAAGAGTTACAGTGCAGTGTGGAAGAGCCATCCCTCAGGTGTCCAAATTCAGAGGGAGCTCATGGATCCCAAAGCAAGGCTCACAAGAGAGGGGCAGAACTTAGGTTCTAAGAATGAGTGTAAGTGCAAGAGAGGGGGTTAGGGAATGCCATGGCAGGTTGGTGGTCATGCCTAGCCACAAGGTAGGCTGGAACACCCCTGACCAAGCCTGTTCAGCCAACAAATAAGAGCACAGACTTATTGAAGGTCAAACTATGGTCTGGGTAGTGATTAGGACACTGTCAGACCAAGGTCTCAAGCTCAAAATACATATAAGGGTGAAAAGGAATGGGAATTGAAAGAGCTTAGGACTCAGGGAGTTCAGTCCATATACATGAACAACAATGTCAAGGGTTGTCATGTTTTCTGAACCATAACTCAGCAGACAAAGGGTTCAGGGATGGGGATTCATATAGGAGCAGGAATAACGAGCTTGCAGGAAGCAGTAAAATAAACAAAGAAAAGACTGAAGCATAAACACATAAGAGAGAGGGCAGAATTTAAACAAGAAAAGACATACCAGTTGCAGAAAAGTAAGCATAAAGAAAAGCAGGATACTTGCAGCCAAAACACAATCAGAGAAGAGAGCTTATGAGTTTAGAGAAAACTCGAATGTTTTTTTAGAAAACCTAAGTGTATTTGAGAGAAGAAGTGGTGACTTATGCTGTGTGTTCGAACTTTTTTTTTTTTTGAAAGAGAAGAGGTACAGGTATTTATAGTTTTGAAAACGAGTAGAGA